TTGAATATTTCTTTTTGATATATTAAAAATATTATTTTTTTAATACTCCTTAGGTCAAGTCAGCTCGAATATTTGAAGATTTTCAGTCGTTTGACCATGATAAGATTTTTGGGAGATTATGTATTTTCAAAAATTAAGTAAAATGGTCATATTACACTACGTTTAGGGAAATGTATTTGGAGAACACTTGTATTAGTCTTTTTAGATCCATAATTGAATCGTTTAATTTGAATTGGTTTTTTAAAAGTAGTTCAATTTAAAAAAAAAAAATTGTGCTTCAACATGAATTTCTTATTGAAAAACTAGTTTGTGAAAATTGAAGATATATAAGTGAAAGTTCTTTTCACATAGAATAATCATTCAAACTAATATTATTCTGTTTGAAATACCAATGTTGATGTTTTATAATGAAAAAATGACGTTGTATAGCCGCTTTCAAAATAACAGCCTTTGTGCGTGTAATATACATATTTTATACACTTTTGCAGTTACCAAATTTAAAAATAGTTTTGACAGCCGGCTAAAAGTGATCTTTTCCCTTTTATAATTAAAAATATTTATGAACAAAAATAAGTATTTGTAAATACTAAAATTCAGTACTTACAAATAATAAAATAGTATTTTACACCCAAACATGTATTTATGTTTGTTTATCAAGCTGGCCTGGTACTTCAACTTCAAGCGTGAAATATAATATCTGAACTTTTTTTTTGGTAATTCTGAATTCTTATTACCAGGAAAATATTTCCATAGTGTTCCGAAACCTCTAAAGTTGGACATCAGCCCCAACTTTAGTATACTTCATCTTCTTCCATGCATACAAATAGAAAACTATAAACTATGCTTTATCTACTAAACAATCTAACTAGGATAGTAATCAAGCTGTTTCAATAATGGTGCCAATTTCTTCCTCATTCTCCCTTTGCAGTGTATATCTTGAATGACCTGCCTCACTATAGCTGCTGCTGGTCTTGTTTTTTGTTGAAAGATTTTGTTGTTCCTGTCCAACCAAGTATAGTACACACTTCCTACTAGAGCCATGAGATAATATTTCTACTCTGGCACTATTGCCAGAAGCATATTTTTGAGCCCATTCAATTTCTTCCTTCCACCCCATAGCTTGATGCTAGATTCCCTGCCAATTGAGTATTTGTTGCCATATCTGAGATGTGATCGGACATTTAAAAAGCAAGTGTTGAATGTCTTCTTCCTCATTATCACATAGTGCACATGTTGTGTCATACCCCATATCCCACTTTTTCAATCTCATCTTTGTGTAAAGTCTGTCTTGTATTGCAAGGCATAATACGAATACCATTTAGGGCTACCCTGGTTATTACAGATCAATTTCCTCTATTGCACTTTAGAATATTTGCCTCTCAGCTTGTTATACATTATCTTGATAGCATATGTATCACCTTTTAGGAATTCCTCTATAGATACCCCTACTTCCTCCAAGTACTGCGTAGTCTTTAGGATTTTTTGAATCAGCCAAGATGCTTGCGGAGCATTGCTTTCCCACACTTGATTACCCTTTATATAGTAGATATGCACCCATTGAATCCACAACCTATCTTTCTTCTTGCATAAATTCCAATAATGCTTGAGAATGACAGCTTTATTCCATGTGTGTATATCTACTATGTTGAGGCCACCTGTTGATTTTGGCACATAGATTTTATCTCATGCAATTAGAGCTTTCTTTGAGCATTCATTATTCCCATTCTACAAAAACCTTCTGCATATTTGTTCAATCCTCTGAATCACCTTCTTTGGCAGTATGAAAATTTGAGAACAGAATTGTTGGATAGCTATAAGCACAATTCTAATCAGCTGCAATCTCCCTGCATAAGACAACATCTTTGATGTCCATGAGGTTGTTCTCCCCACCATCCTTTTCAGTAATGGCCGGCATTGTCCAATAGTTAGTCTTTTTGAACTCAATGGAACTCCCAAGTATCTGAAGGGTAGAGTTCCTACAGAGAAGCGTAACTCCTTTATAATTTGTTGTTGAATCTGTTCTGGTACCCCTCCAAAATACACAGCACTATTCCCTTGATTTGCAATTAGCCCAGAAGCCATAGAGAATTGCTGGAATTGTTTGTATAAAACCTGAGTAGATACCACATCCCCTCTACAGAACATCAACAAATCATTTGCAAACCCCATTTTTATTATGTTCAATTTATCACATTGAGGATGGTAGTTAAAGTCTGGATTTTCTGTCAGTGTTCTCAATGATCTGCTAAGATATTCCATGGCAATCACAAACAGGAATGGTGACAAAGGATCACCCTGCCTTACTCCTCTCTTAGCAGTAAAGGGAACACTTGGTTTACCATTTATGACTACAGAATATGAGACTGTTGAGACACACACCATGATCCATCTCACAAATGGTTCTGGGAAATTAAGTGCATTTAGAACTTGTTCTAGGAACACCCATTCAATAGAGTCATAGGCTTTTTGCATGTCAATTTTGATATGCATCTTGGCGACACCCCTTTTCTCCCATATCCTTTTACTAGTTCATGACTAAGGATAAAATTATATGTGATAAGTCTGCCAGGTACAAATGCAGCTTGACTCTTATCAATGATGCTATCCATGACTCCTTGTAGTCTACTAGTAAGCATTTTGGAGATGATCTTATATAGTGTGGAGTAACAAGATATAGGTCTATATTGCTTCACTGATGTGGGGTTCTTAACCTTAGGCACCAAGGTTATAGAGAAATGTGAAACTAAGCGGGCGGGGAAGGTATGACCCCTCCTCCATTGAACAGAGGGGATCCGTAGGGCGGGCTCACTCACAAACTGGATAGGTGACTCGGAATTATAGTGGTAGTTCTGTTACCTCGGGGAAGATGTGCAATTTATCGATTGATAGAGCTTCTTAGTATAAAAAAAAATAATTCAAAACAGCTTCAGTTACCTCATCTCCAATCATGGCCCATGTTTTCTTAAAAAACAGTGAATTGAAACCATCTATCCCCAGGGCTTTGTTGTCATCTATCCCCTGAAGTGCTTGTCAAACTTCTTCTCTATTAAATGGTCGGATGAGCTGCATTTGTTGCCCTCTTGACAGCATAGGTCCCCTCCTCATATCATCTAAATTTACAGCAGGCAGTGTAGGACTTACACCCCCAAGTAAGCCCTGATAAAAGTTTAGTATCTACTCTTCTATCCCCTTTTCTGTTTGGACAATATCCCCTAAGTGCTTTGATCTGATTCTGGGCTCTCATATTCTTGATGCTGGCAAAAAAATAAGCTGAGTTAGAGTCTCCTAGTTTAAGCCATTGGACTCTAAACTTCTGTTTATAGATGCTCTCCTCTATTAAATCCCATTTCTCCAGCTGTAATCTTAACTCTTTTTCCACTTCAAAATTATGAGAATCCTGATTATAAGTTCTCATCTGTTGTTGTAACAATTGAAGATCATTCCTGATGCCTTTAATTTTGTCAGCAATCCCAGGAAACTCCTTTGCATTCAGGCCTTCCATTGCTTGTTTCATGTGCTTCAGCTTGAGCCATACTTTTTTCATGTATACTGCATTTGTACTTATCTGCCAGTTATCTGCTACTATCTTCCCAAAGTTAGGATCATCAGCCAGACAATTCATAAATCTGAATGACCTAGTTGTTGTCTTCTGTTGTCTTCCCAATTCAACACTTAGAGGTGAATGATCAGAAAAATATGATTCTAGAACATGAACTTGAATAGGAGGCATATTGTTCATCCATTTCACATTTACTAATGCCCTGTCAATTTTGCTAAAAACATGGCTATTAGTCCACGTGAATGGTCTTCCTATTGCCTGTAGCTCAGTCATACCAGCATCTTCTACAAACTCTCTAAAGTCTCTTGTCTCATGATCTTGTACCACATTGCCATGCATTCTGTCCTCTAACTCAAGTATGGCATTGAAGTCTCCCATTACAAGCCATGGTTCTTGTTGCCTGCTTTCTATTTCCCTTAGCTTTCTCCATAACTCCTTCCTATCCTGCACTGTATGAAGGCCTTAAACAGATGTAAAATGAAATTTTATTGCATTGGCAGCACAATTGATTTCAGCTTGTATGTATTGATTATGCACACTGATTTTCTTAACCACAGCAAATTTTGGTCCCATAACAGCCATATCCTCCCTCTATTATTCAAGGAAGTGTTTGAGATCCATTCCCATGTAGGTACTATTTTGTTTATCACATGCCCCTTTTTACATTCCTTACTCTATGTTCTATGATGGCTATAATATTAACTTTATTCTCCTTAATAAACTCCCTTAGCTCCTTTTGCTTATACAACTTATTCATTCCCCTCACATTTCAAGTAATAACTTTCATCTTAGTAATGGAGGGAAATGGTCTTGATTATCTGCACCCCCTTGGCTACTCTTAAAGGTTTGATTGTTGGTTTTGGGCTTATAACCATTTCTTTTATCATACCCGTTATTTGATTTGTTCTGCCGCTTATTGTCCTCCACAAAGTTGGCTCTTGTAGCAATCTCCTTGTCAGCAACAGCTTGCTTGCGATTGGTATTTTCAATTATAATATGCTTGACCAAGTCCTTCAGCGACAATTGCTTGTGTTTGTATTTCAATTATTGTTTGTAGTCACTCCAAGATTTGGAAAGTATCATATTGCTTATCTTGCTGCATTACCATGACTTGGCCTGGTGGATCATTTGCCCATCCTGCTAATGAGCTAAATCCATTATTTGTATCTACCTCTCTTTCTTTGTTACCCCCACTCTTGGCCATTTTAGTGGCTGATTTTGTTCTCACCATTGTCCATCTTTCTGTTTGTGCTTCTGTTGCAGTAACCTACCCTTTGTTATCAGCATCCTTTCCACCAATTGTTTGCCCTTTTGTATTCCGTATTTGCTCATTCTGTTTTTCACTTATCTTCACTTGATGACTTCTCCTCCAAATTTGCATAGGCTTTGGCTGTTTTTCTCTTTGGCCTTGTACTGGTTGCTTCTGCATATTTGTATTCTTTCAATTGTGACCTATTTTCAAACACGATGCACAATACTCAGGCTCCCAATTATATTGCACTTCCTGTTCAAACACCCCTCCCTTAGGGTCCTGGACAGCAATGCTCGTAGGAAGTGGTCTAGTAATATCCATTTCAATAAGGACCCTTGCATATGATATGCGTGCAATCTTGGTGGTGCACTCATCAGCGTATACAGGAGTACCTAAACCACTACTGATTTTACATAGTGACTTCCCTCCCCAGCAACTTAGAGGAAGTTTTGGAAACTTCACCCATAGTGGAATAGTTTTAAGCACTTCATTTTGAAAATTAAAGTCTATCGACCATTCCTTCATTATCACATGCCTATTATTAATTGTGTTTGGGCCTGAGAACAACACCTCACCTCTGTCTTCTATGCTTTTGAATCGAATGACAAAGTAATCATCATTGTGGTAGTATACTTGGGGCTTCTCTCCAAACTTCCACTGTGTTATGAGAAATCTCTCCACTGCTCCTATCGATGGTGAATCTCCGATAACATACAGAATTATAGCCATTCTCCATTTTGCACTCTCCTCTTCTATATCCTCCTGCTCCAACTTTACAATTGTCTTCCCTTCCTGGATGCTAGGTGGAATGTATCTCAGATTCATGCCTTTTGATGCCAGCTTACTTCCTGTAACTACACTTGCCCAGGTCTGCATATTTCCAGTCTCCTTAGGTAAATTTCCATTCCTTATTACCTTTTGAGCGCCTTCATTCTCCTTGTTGTTGTTAGATCACTTAGTGCCAGAAATGCTACCCTGAATCTGTACAGCCTTAGCCCTAGATGTATCCCCTGAATGACAGTTGGTACCTTCATCATTGTCAACCTTCCTGCATGTGCTTGATTCTTCCATACCAGCAACTGATTTCCCCTTCCCAGTAATAGGCGTGCTCTCCGATTCCTTTTTGTCCAGTTGATTATCTTTATCCGTCGTTGTTTGCTTTGTAGCAGATCTATGGAGATTTCCTCCAATTGGTGATTTTCCATTTCCAGATCCTACCTTCAGTTCCTCAAGCAACTTGAAATCCGTAATTAGTACCTTATTCACCCGCTTCCGTGGTCTTCGTCGCCCTCCCATTTTGGTGATTAGCGTACGTTAGTAAGTTCACCTAATCGAGCGCCGAGAGAAACGGTTATAGAGAGAGAATGTAAACTATTTGTTTTATTTATATATAAAGTTCACCTAATCTGAACTTTAAAAAATAGATTTTAGAAGTTTTTTAAAGTTTTTTAGTCAGAAAATTTCAGATGTGTTTTCATATTTAAATACTTTCAAATTCAACTTAATTTTAAATATTAGTTTTTCCTAAATATTAACTAATTCATGTCCAAACGCTATTGTCGATCAAGGACTGAGGTATTATATGACAATTGTGGACCTATAAAATATAAGCATATGAAACGGTGAGTAGTTTAAAGATACTGATTTGACTTGTTTATTCTCTTTTTGTTATAAATAGAATTGTATTTATGGTGAATGTCTATATTTAAAGAGATTCTAGGGTTCATTGCTTGGTGGCTAAGTCACCCTCTCCCTATAAATAGAGGGTTCTATTCCATTGTAATTCATCCCAATATCAATAAGAATTCTCTCTCTACTTTTCTCTGTAATACTCTTTTCTTCTTTTATTGTTTCATAACACGTTATCAGCACGAGACTCTAACCAATTGAGTAGAAGTTTTGGGATGGAGCATAATGGTTGTCAATTGTTCCATGAACTTCCTTCATGATTAAATTTTGGATTTAAGGTAAGTATTTTACTTTATTTTTCTCGTTTAAATTCTTGACGTTCTATAATTTAATTTTAAATACAAGCAAAGACAATAAATTTTGATTATAACTCTAATGGAGTTAGTAAGAAATTATAACCACTCGAAGTGATAAAATTTCTATGTCTTGCCATAATCAAATTTATGTATGATTATGGGCACAAGAAGTGCATACCCGTCCCATTAAATTTGCTTCATTCTCATTCCCTTAAGAGAATGTGATAGCAGTATGTGATATGTCTGAAAGAAGATAAAATTATTACCGTGAAGGTATCAATGGATGTAGACGTGGTATTAGACGAAATTATAATCGTCATCATTGTGATAATGAGAATAATAAGGATTCTCAAAATAATCCTTCACTCTCTGAAAGTAATATTTGTCATCGATTTGACATGAGATTTTATAAAGCACATATAGAAGATTATGGTCCATTCATGATGTGAATGTGAGAACATCTGATTTATGAATACATATTCGTTCTTGGAGGAATATGAACGTGCTAGTGGTAGTGAATATACCACGCTCACCTCTAGAAGGAGGTTTGAGAGGAAATAAGAAAATAATGTCATTATTATGGCATAAATGGTCATTGGTCACGTACTTATTGTACGCCAAAATATTTTGGCATTGTGATTATTAAAAGACAATGGTAATGCAAGAAACATATCTTGCACATAATTTTGACCATAACCATAATGGTATAACTTTCTCTTTAAAAGAGATATTCACCATATGGATGTTGATGAATATGTGGTACTACAAAATTAATTTTGAACTCTGCAAGAGCCAATTACACTATTTTGGAGAAACACAATTGATTACCAATAAGGTATTGTGTTGTAGTAAGTCTCAAAGAAACTTATTCAGTTTCCAAAGTATACGCAAAAGCGGTTGATTATATTGAGACTATAAATAAAGGAAAGATTTAATATCTTCTATCACTACAACTTATAGCGGGATAATATGTATGTGAAAAGCTACCCGCTTTAATCTCCAGTTTGTACTACACAAACAAAAGAATGCCACAATAAAGAGAAGTTTATTGATATAAAAACCCATAATAATAAATTTGGAGTTTATTGATAATTGCACACGTTATGGTGTAAATCTGAAGTTTATCAATATTGATAATTTATTCAGTTGGCATAATTGGTTTAGCCATATCAATTTAAGTATGATGTGCAAAAATAAAAGAGAATTCACATGGGTAAATATTAAAGAACTAGAAAGTTCTTTACGAATTCTATTATGTTGCCTATTCTCATTAATTAATATACCAATTAAAATTGGGATTGAATCCCATGAATGATGGAAATATCAAATGTGAATATGGGCCCATTCACTTGCCATGTATACCACATAAGATGCATCTATGAGATAGTTACATGTGCGATTATTATTAATCTGCAACATGGTGTTTGCGAGGTAAGTTGCTCAATAATTTAATTTAGAGCATAATTTCCAGAATTTTAACTCAAGATAGTTCATCTTGATAAGTTGGTTTACATCACAGTTGGTTTAGCAAAATAATTTATTGAGTGCCTCCACTTAATAGCTAAACTATTGCTTATGAGAACAAAGTTATCTATATCAGTTTGATATATGTTATATAGGAAAGTATATTGCATTCTCCCCTCACAAGTGGTTCAGGGTTAGGAACCAATTCCATCTTATTATTATTGATGTGCGGTGTATATTTTGATTAACACCATAATGCACAAAGATGGGTTCACAAAGTTGAGGTAACAAGTTAGTTTTTCTAACATGAGGGGGAGACATGATAAACAGTGGAGAAATAGTTACGTGGAATGAATTATCATTTGTGCATCTAGATCCTCGAAAAAATAAGATGAACTTGAAGTTCATAAAAGGATAATTTATGTGCAATTTTTTGCAAAGCATGCCAGACACATTTGCTGGCCAAAAGAAAGTAACTATATTCTTATTGCAAATGCTTCTATTAAGTCCTAAAAGGACAAAGTCTATACTACGCTTAAAGCATATAGACAAATCGGTTTCAAATAAACTTCTTGATAAAGAAGATGAGCAAATGATCAAAATGATCATAATAAAGGAGGCAAGTGATCTAGAAGATCACATGACATAACACTTCATAAAATCTCAACAGAGATTCAGGTACCTGAAAATATGAATGAAGAGATCTCTATGTTATATCTTTATGAAAAAATATTGAAACCGATATAAAATATTTATCGACGACATCTATGATAGCGCTAAATAAATATATACGAGGATCTTAAGTCTAGAGAAATAATTCAAGTAGAATTGGTTTCATACGAAAGACATGTAGTTTTGAACATGTAGTTCAAATACTTGAAAGTATAAAGTCAATGGTATGTGCAATCAGTTTTCGATATCTTATATGTCTAGCATGGCATGAAAACTTGATATGCATCTAAAGTCTATTATATAGCTTATATGACTTAAAAATCCTTGAAGGATTTAAATTGCTTAAAGCATATAGAATTCATGGTCATGAAGTACTATATCCTAAATGCAATTTGTGCACATATGTATCTTGCTATACCTATAAGCATGATAATATGATAGCAAGAGTTTTCACCCCTACGTGAAGATATTGAAATGATGATTCCAACAAGATCATATGAAGACAATACATCTATCAGGGATGATGATCTCAAGGTGAAACAAATTCGTTGAAGTTAATATGGCTGATATTGTTTATCAAATATCTACCAACGATCTTTTGAAGATGGTGCACAAGATTGGAATGCAAATGCTTAAGGATGTGAAGTGATGCTCTCATGAGGGGGAGTTAATACGCGTTGTACTCTTTTTCCTTTACAAGGTTTTGTCCCACTGGGTTTTCCTTGCAAGGTTTTTAAAGAGGCAACCAAAAGGCGTACTGTTAGATATGTGTACTCTTTTTCCTTCTCTAGATTTTTTTCCCACTGGGTTTTATTTTAGTTAAGGTTTTAACGAGGCACATTATCTGTTGAATAGACATTCAAGGGGGAGTGTTATAAATAGAATTGTATTTATGGTGAATGTCTATATTTAGAGAGATTCTAGGGTTCATTGCTTGGTGGCTAAGTCACCCTCTCCCTATAAATAGAGGGTTCTATTCCATTATAATTCATCCCAATATTAATAAGAATTCTCTCTCTACTTTTCTCTGTAATACTCTTTTCTTCTTTTATTGTTTCATAACACTTTTGTTAATATATAATTTTTTCCTCAAGATATATTGATATTGTGTTTTTTAAACTAACAATTAAAATTTATTAAATATAAGACGAAAATTAAAAAGCACACATTTGGCAAAATTATTGGACAAAACTGCTAAGGAATCATTTATCATTTTCTACCGAACTTTACCCAACAAAATACAGTTATTTGGTTCAGTAATTGCTATATATAAGTCGCGTTTAAGTAGGATCCTTAAAATACGATTTGCAAGTCGCATTCTTACATGCGATCAGCGGCCCCTCCGGCTTCACAAGCAGAAAAAAACCTAACGACACTACCTTCCCTTTACACCTGTGAATGTTACTTTGAAATCAAAACTGATTCATGGCTTCCTCCGCTAATTTTAGGCTCGAAATCCTCACTCGACACTTAACTTCAGCAGCTTTTGCCTCTAAGGTACCACTAAAAATCACACTCTCTTACTACTGATTACCGTTTTTTTTTTCAATTCAAAAGCAGGGTCGTGATTTTGATATGGTAATCAAAGTGCAAATGCCTTAATTTCTGAGAAATTTTTTCCAGTTTCAGTTATGGAAAGCTATTTTTCCGAACGATTAACTTAAATTTATGGTTATATCTTAATCAAAATGGACACTTCATAAGTTTCTGCCTCTAAGGTAGCTCCAAAAATCATTCTTTCTTACGAACAATTAT